GAATGGTCAAAATCCAGAACAATGACAATACCAAATGCTGGTGAGGATCTGGGGCAACAGGAACTCTCATTAATTGCTAGTGGGAATGCAAGAGGGTACAGCCCCTTTGGAAGAGCTGGCGGTGTCTTGCAAAATCAAACACACTCTTACCGTAAGACCCAGCAATCCTGCTGCTTGCTATTTACCCTAAGGAGTCAAAAACTTCTGTCCATACAAAAACCTGCACATGAATTACAGAAGATTTATCCAAATTCTTAAAACTTGAAGAAACCAACATGTGCTTCAATAGGTGAACAGATAAATAAACTGTGGCACATCCACACAAGGGAGTATTTTTGGATTATACAAAAAAGAAATGAGCTAGCAGGCCATGAAAAGACATGCAGGAACCTTAAAAGCATACTACTAAGTGAAAGCAGCAGTCTGAAAAGGCTACATATTGTATGATTCTAATCATACAACGTTCTGGAAAAGGCAAAAATATGGAGACATTAAATATCACTGTTTTCCAGGGTTCGGGTGGAGGAGAATGATGAACAGGCAGAACACAGAGGATCTGTAGGTCAGTGAAACCACTCTGTATGATATTCTAATGGTGGATACATGTCATTGTATGCACATTTCTCCAAACTCATACAATGGACAACACCAAGAGTGAACTCTAAACTATGGACTTTGAGTGATAATTGATGGGTCAACTTGGTTCATCAATTGTAACAAATGTACCACTGGGGGATGCTGATAATGAGGGAGGCTATGCACGTGTTGGGTAAGGAGTGTATTTGAAATCTCTGTACCTTTTGCTCAGTTTTGCTGAGAATCTAAAATTGTTCTAAGAAACAGTGAGCAAATAACCTACAACAGAATTCCTTCACCTCTGTATTTGTTTCTCTCCAGGAGGGTTGGCACACAGAGGAAGAGGAGGAGACTGTACAGCTGGAGATGCAGCTCTCCTCAATTTAATCATTACAAAAACAAGTCCTAGAACAGTGCTGAACAACAGAAGTCTCTGATGATGCAAATTTTCAGTCTGTGTGCCCACTATGGTAGCTACTTTTAAAGCACATCTGTTTTTAAGCATAGTGCTTGAAATGTGGGGAGTGCAACTGAAGAACTGAATTTAAAAATTTTTACTTTACTTAATTAACCAAAAGAGCGACATGAGTACACCTAGGAATTAGCAAATTAGACACTGTAGTTCCAGAAGAATCTCTGTGCTTCTACTGCTGTTCACAAATACACATGGAAATTAACTGCAGAAATGTACACTAAGGCAGATAAGCCAATAGCAACAGACAAAAGACTAGATCAGATACTTCACAAGAGATATCCAAACGGCCAGTTGATATATAAAAAGCTTCTCAACTGCATCAGTCCTCATCAGGGAAATGCAAATTAAAACCACAGTGGATACCCCGACAGAGCCACCAAAGTGGCTATAATGAAAAACTCTCTGTCAGGACAAGTAAGAAATGAGAAATCAGGAGGAAAATGCAAAAGGACAACTTAAAAGACCAGCACTTTTCTGAACACCTGTATTAGGTGGACTCTGCACACCTGGCACGGTCATTATACACACCTGCTTGCAGAGCACAACACCTGTGCTAGGTCATAGGCACACTGACACTAAGAACCAGCTATTCCAGAATTCCTAGCATGGATTCGTTGCATGATGTATGAAATATTCAAGATTCTAGGTAAAGGTGGAATAATTTCACCAACAAGTGATTGGGACAGGTCTGGTGCAGCCACCAGCTCAAGTCCCTTAGGAGACAGCCTGTGATTCAAGAGGTCTCAGGGAAACCAAGATGTGAAGCCTAACCTCCCTGCTTCTGTTCCTGAGGTAACTGGCAAAACTGAACTTCTGACCATGGAAATCACAACAAGCAAAAACAAGTTTTCAAACCACACAAACTGACAGTTTGGGCCTGAGATCTTCTCCGGGTCAGATATGTGTGTTTAACTCTGTAATACTCAGTTTCTCATCTACAGAATGAGAGGAAATAACTACCTCCTAAAAAAGTGTGCTAAGAGGTATGAAGAATATGATACTGGACAGAGCCAGACACAGACAGTTATCAGGCAGGGGCACGTGCAAATCCAATGCAAATGTGATCAGCTGGCTTCGCTCGACATTACAAACCAGACTTACCTAAAATCATAGAAGTCTGCAAATTCCAAAAGAGCATCCCCATCTGTGAAGAGCTTGCAGTGACTCCTGTCATTCATGTGAGCCTGTACAGCTTCCGTGGAGTAGAAGGACTTCCCCCTCTCATTGCACCACAAGCAAATCTTCCCCACACCAACTTTCTCTCCTGGAAAAGTAAGTTGAGAAAAAAAGTATGAAAGCAGCTTTTTGCAGCCAGATTAGGGCTCATTGTCGATGTCCACAATTCAAAAAACAGCCATCAAGTTGCTGATTTTCACAAAATCGGCCGGTCACTCAATCCAAGATTGAGGAGAAGCCCCAAACTAATGCCCCCCAATAATGTGGTATTTTGTCATTCAAAAGGAAAAAACGACTGAACTTACCCAAATATTTAATCAGTCCCTTAAGATCGGAAAGATACTCTACATCAGGAATAAAGAAGCTGTGCACTTTAGTCATATGAGCCACGTTCTTCGTGAGGGAGCTTGAATGATGGGGACAAAACAAGCAGTCAGTTACGGGGATGGCGCCACGCGGGGTGCTTCCTCCAGCCTCTTCCTCCGCTGCCTCCTCCTCCGGGGCTGCAGCATCCTCACATTCCAGTTCCTCATCAGAATCAATATCCTCCCACTCTGCAAGCCAGAGATTTGAAAAACAGTTAGCTGAAGATCTCAAAGTCAGCCAATCATCCACCACACACCGGTCGGCATGGCTAAGGAATGCTTTCATCCTTCTTTTTCAGCGCACAGTAAACCCCTTGAAGGAAGCACGTGCTCCTTTCCTATGCATTTATGAACACATGCAATCAGCGTCAGGGGGATGAGGGAAAAATAGCTCATTAAGTCAAGAAGCCTAGGTTGCTGGCTCCAGCCCCACACTGCAAGTTAGCTAGCCGATTCTGAGCACCTCAAACTCAGAGCAAAGCCATCATGACCAGAAACCCAATGGAATTAAACATTCTGCAGCACATGGTGTGAGGGTACTATGTTCTCCTTCTGCATATGTTAACAATCTCCTCCTTCAACAGAGAATGTATCCTTTCATTCTACAAATATTTACTAAGTAACTATTCCCCCCACCCCCCGTTAAGGTTTCAGTCCCTGAATCGACAACAGTGAGCTAAACACACAAAATGCCCTGTGGGGGTGCTGGCCACACCAGCCACTTCAGAAACCAAGGAAACACCCTCACGCATCACCTTCACCTGAAAACGGACACCTCCCCCCTCCAACCTCAAAGATAAACTGGAAGCTTGAGGACCAGCCCCGTCCCCCGCCCCTCCCCGCCCCCCAGACAGGCCCCCACCATCTGCATCCAGGTCGTCCTCACTCTCCTCCTCCCCCTGCTGTTTGGCCAACTTCTTCGCCTGCTGTTCAAACCACTGCAACCGGGGAGGCTTCTCGACCGGGTCTCGCTGCTGAGTCCCACGTCCTCCAGCGGCCACGGTCACTGGACTCCGGGACTCCGCCTCGGGCGCTGGGGCCGCCTTCTTGGGAGACGTGGACGGCTGGGCCTTGATAACCTGCTGGATGGCCGCGTTCACCGCATCCCTGTCCACGCCCAGCCCTTCCTTCAAGTTCTTTTCATTCAGGATCGCCACTTTCCGACTCACCGCCTCCTTCTCCAGCTCCACGTGCCGCCGGGACCTCAGATGGTTTTCGTAGGCCTTGAAGGAGGCAAACTTCTTACTGCAGACGGTGCAGTAGGTGGCCGCGCCCTTGCTCTCCGGCTCCGCCAGGGCCCGCTGCGCCCGCACCCGCTCCTGGAAGCCCTCGGCGGCGACCGGGGCCATGCCGGCCACTTTGCGCCTCAGGTTGTAGCGGTGCCAGTCCGTCTTGTAGTGGGCCCGCTGCGCCTCCGCGTCGTCCAACAGCGCCCGGCAGGTGTTGCAGGTGTAGGTCGCCATCGCCAGCCGGAAAGTAAGAGGCGAACCAAGGCAGCAGTCTAGCGATCACTGAGCGCCCTGACCCCACCAGACACTCGGACCGTAAGCCTCAAGACCCACGAAGAGCCGGATTGCGAGCTGACTTCCGGACTGGATCGAATTATTTCCGGCCTGACAGGAAGTCCCGCCTCGACCTGTAGCCACGCCCCCGCCGCGGAGAGGCCAGAGGCCCCGGGAAGGTGGGGGAAGCCCGGGAAGGATCCGGCCCCGCCCAGTCGGCCTGAGGTGGGTGTTGATTGGGTTGGCGTAAGGAGGGTTGTGATTGGATGGGCCTGAGGCAGGTGATGATTGGATGAGCCTGAGACGAGTGGTGATTGGATGGGCCTGAGGTGATTGTTGTTTAGGTCTCCGCGAGGTGTGGGATCGGTGGATCCGCGTGAGCTGGGTTGACCAGAAGTAATAGGTGTTCATTGAGTCGACCGAGGTGGGTGTTGCCCTGAGTTGGGTGTGATCGACAGGCCTCGCCCACGCAGGTTACTGTCCTTTTTGGCTGTGCTGTGAGGCGTGGTGCTGGGAAGGCGACCACCGCGCGGGACGGAGGACTGGGGAGCCGGGAGGACTGATGCGTGCGACCGCCCGACCGTCTGGATTCTCTGAGGTCTGCGCCCTGCACCCCTGCAGCCCGGGAGTGGGTGTCACGAAAGCCAGAGATGCTGGCCAGCCCGGGGGTCGACCGGAGACTCGGGTTACAGGCTGAGGGAACTCACAGGAAAACCGGAGACTCCCGGCCAGAACCTCGGCCTTACTGGGGCGGAAAGGGCGCAGGGGAAACTCCTGGATGGATAGTTTGCACTTCGGAGCGTAGAGTCCAGCCCAGCCGCTGCCCAGTAGAAATAGAATCCCAGACAAGTATGTCCTCTTAAATCTAATAGTAGCCGCGTTTTCATTAAAGCGGAAAGAGAGAGGTAAGATGGCCATATTTTATTTAAGCCAGTATATCCAAAATATTATCGTTTCAACATGTAATCAAGCCAGAAGATTTAGTGAGACATTTTACATTCATTTGTTGGTACTAAATCTTGGGATTCCAGTGCGCATTTTACAGTTAACAGCACACCTCAGTTCAGACGAGCCTCGTGTCCTGTACTTAGTTAACTATGTCATGTCATGCGTAGCAGCCCGGTTCTATAGGAAGCATGAATGTTAAAGGCGTAGGGAGTTCTTACACTCGTCTGCGCAGCCTAGCTGAACCAGTCCGTCCTTTTTCAGAATTGGACATTGCATGTTTAAAATCCAAGCGGCCCATAGCACCAAAGAAGATACCGATGTTTTTTTTTAAAATGTAGGTTAAGTCGCATTGTTCTTCTTGCTGAAAACCTTCAGTGGCTTCCCCTGACTGGGAATAAAGTACAAACACATTCCTGCCCTGGTCTGAATGTTTGTGCCACCCCCCTCAAAAAGAAAAAAAAAATTCATATATTGACAAGCGGATTCCCAAAGTGACGATATTAGGAGGTGGCACATCTGAGAGGTGATTCGATTCTGAGCACATAGACCTCAGAGACCCAAAAAGGGATAGAATAAGAAGTCTGAGACTAGGAAGAGGCCCCTCACCGCACCATGCTGGCACCCTGATCTTGGACTTCCAGCTTCCGGAACTGTGAGAAAAAAAAAAAGGTTGTTTATAAGCCACCCAGTCTGTGATATTTTGTTATAGCAGCACAAACTGACCAAGAGGATTGCCTTTCTATTCTAGGAGGCCCTACCCCTCCTTCTGACCGCCTGTCACACCCCCTTCCCCACTCTGCTCACCCCACTTGTCACACTGACACTTGATGTTGCTCTAACAAGGCTAAGCAACATCTGTCATCTCAGTGCATACTAAATCTCAGAAGTTCTTTACTATTATGCTTGGACCGAGTATTGCTGTCTTGCTCCCTTACTTTGAAGGTTTCTGCCCAAAGGCGTTTACAGGAGGGCCCTATCCACACCCTCTTTTCACAGTAGTGCCTACCCCCAACTCATCAGTCTTTCCTAAGCAGACCTTTTCTCAGTAGCACTGTACTAGCCATCTAGTACTCCATATCACATTACCCCAACATTTAGCAGGAAAACAACAGACTTTGCTTCTTTCCATTTCTGTAAGTCGGAAATTTACGTGGCTCATGGACTCATGAAGTTGCGGGGGGACAGGGCTGATCATGTGACGGCAGCTGGAAGGTTTGACTCTGGCTGGAGGATCCCCTTGGAAGAGGCTCACTTACACACTGATAGCAAGAGCTTTGGGGTCCTCACTGAGTGGACCTCTACCTAGGGCTGCTTGAGTGTCCTCATAACATGGTTACTGGCTTCCCTCAAAAGTAAGCAAAGTAGAAGTCACAATATCTTTTAGGACCTAGCCTTGGAAGTCACACAGGGTCATTTCTACGATATGCTGTTACTTAGGAAAGTCAGCTCTGTTTAATGTGGGAGGGACTTTGTAAGGGCATGAATGGGGTGTCTTTGGGGACCATTTGGGAAATGGGCCACCACTAGCATTTGTTGTTTGTTCCTGATTTTCCAGGATTGGCACTGAAAGTCTTGTATCCCAGGAAACCTCTCCATCATTTGCAAACCAGGATAGTCAGTCCCATTATAGGTTAGTCATCCACCTCCAGACTACAAGCTCCATGGGAACAGGGACTCCTTTCGTTGCTGTGTACCCCAAAGCTACAACAGTGCTGGCACATAAATTTTTCAGTATTTGTTAAACAAACCTTTTGTAGTGCAAGTTAAGTCTGGTGCTGATTTCATTCCAGAAAACTTGATTTTTAGATTACAAAATCTTTTAAAATAGCTGAGTCCTCTGGACAGATATCCATCTTAAGAAATGTAATTTGTTCAACAGGGATAAGCAAAATAATGTATATCTTCAAGCTTCTCTAAAATCAAAGCAGAGAATGGTTATATTGAGTAAAGAACTTCTGTTTTCTCTTTCCAATTATCGTTCACATATGGTTCTTCAAGCATCTGTTCTTCTTCAGGTCATTGTTTCCTCCCTACCTCCTCTCATCCATTTCCATGACCCATTTCAGCATCTTTGAACTCTCCACGGGTTCTTTCCTTTTCCTCTTCAAAGGGACATTGTTTTCTCCACCTTGTTAAATTTCCCATGGGCTGCAATTCTACTGTAGTCTCCTGGAGAGCCTTCTCTTTCCTCTTAGTCTACCATACAGCACGTAGAGATAATCACACTAATTCCTCTCAGCCATGTTTCCTCTTGTGTCACTCCTTGTGTTCAAGAATGGTTACCTGTTGCCCATTGAAGAAGTTTAAATTCCTTTGCCTGGTTTTCAGTATCTCCTATCACCTCTCACCCATGCTCCCTATCTCCAGGAACATGGGTGTTTTTTTCAGACTACCAAGCAATTCTCCAACACCAGCTGGGTGTCCTCAAATTCAACTCAGTTCCGACACCTTCTACCTGGAGATAAAGTCAGATCCCACAGGTTAAATGCTCAGTCCCACAAGACTGGCCCCACTTCAGAAGGCAATGCCAAGTCCAGGTTTTTACCTGTGCTTCTCACTGGCTATAAATCAGAGGTTTCCATGACCCCCTACTCAGGTTTGAGTAATTTACTAGAGCAGCTCACAGAAATCTGGAAACTCGTTTACTTACTAGATTACCAGTTTATTACAAGGATATTAAAAGATGTAAATGAACGGCCCAATGAACAGACACATAAGGTGAGGTCAGGAAGTTCCCAAACAAGAGATTCTCTCCCTCTGGAGTTTTGGTTGTGACACCCTCTCCGCTAGGCTACCTAAGGGCTTTGCAAAAGTCACCTTTATCACTCTCATCACTTAAGACCTTCCAAGGGTTTTAGGAGCTCCATGCCCAGAATGGGACAAAGACCAAATACCTGTATTTTATTATAAATCACAATATCTCATATATAATACGCTACTGGTTCTAAATTAAAACATCTGTCTTCAAGGGGATTTTCTCTGCTTTGTTAAGGATGGTAACAAATACACAACTAATAGAATAAAGATGGGGTCAAGTAAGATGAAATACAAAGAAAGGGGCACTGGGTATTTAGAACAGAAAAATGGCATCAGCTAGGGAGATGAGAAAAGTTTTCATTAAGGAGTTGACAGTTCAGATGGGTGGGTCCTGAGAGAGAGGGGACAATAAGGACTTCATCTGCAAGTGGAAAAGTGGGCGGGCGCTCCTAGAAGAGAAAATAAGGGACATATTTAGGAAGACAAGAAGTCTAGTTTTCTTGAGGCAAAAGATAGGGGAAAGAAGACTAGGAGGTTTTAAGGTATCACTGGGTAAAGAGTTGAATTCTAGAGTTTGCTGTTCATTTTTCAGTTGGTGAACAGTAGGGACTCCAAGAGTGTTTCAGTTTTTATGGGCATGAGGAATAGAACTGGACCTCGAATAGATCCAGCAGCAGTATCTGTAACTGATTGGAGAAATACCAGAAAGGAGCAGATCTATAGCCAGTAGGTCCTTGGTAAATGCAAGCCCTTTGGCCAAGAGACCTTTGAGTTAAATTTCTCCATGGCATATCTAGGGTTTTATGTTAATGTGTCTAAACTCTGCTGACAATACTATCAAGAATTTTTATTACCAAATTAATCATTCTTCCAAAGAATTTAAACTGAGTCTGCCCATGAAAAAAGTTTAGCTTTGAAAATACTGGAAATTAGAATTTCTTCTGGATACTGTGACAGAGCTCTTAAAAACTAATTCACTTACGAAATTATTGAAGTTACTCTACACACTGTAAAAGTGACAGTACCCACGATGATGTTCTTTTTCAGCTTGGATGACACTGGGATGGTGATCTTTGATAATTACAAAATTTAAGACAGGGTCTTCCCTGGTGGCGCAGTGGTTGAGAGTCCGCCTGCCGATGCAGGGGACACGGGTTCGTGCCCCGGTCCGGGAAGATCCCACATGCTGCGGAGCGGCTGGGCCAGTGAGCCATGGCCGCTGAGCCTGCACGTCCGGAGCCTGTGCTCCACAATGGAGAGGCCACAACAGTGAGAAGCCCCGTACCGCAAAAAAAAAAAATTTAAGACAAAAACTAAGGTCACCTTCAAGTCAGTTGATACTACTGTCCACATTCCTATATTGCAGTGGCAACTTGATTTTTAAAGGGGAAAGTATGAAGGTGATTGGATTAGTTGAGGTTAACTTATAGGGGGTAATAAATATAGAATATAAAACATATGTTTATTAAATTACAACTTCTATGACTTCTGTGTTCATAAAAATGTTAAGTAAAGCATTATGATTTTTAAAAAACAATTTAAAAACATTTTACTACCTCTTAGTTTTTGGATATCTAGATATGCAAAGTTTTCTTAAATTAACAAGGGACTGAAATGTATAGCACAATCTGGTTATTGCAGCATTTAAAACAGTTTGGATCAGCTGATTTGTGGATTCTTTGAAAAAAGAAAAATTAATCTAAGTCAAATAAAATCAATCTTTAATATTTAGTGAAATTCTGTTAAACTATTACAAACATCATCATTCTTTTTTTAAATTATTTATTTATTTTTGGCTGCATTGGGTCTCGTTGCTGCACGCGGGCTTTCTCTAGTTGTGGTGAGCAGGGGCTACTCTTCATTGCGGTGTGCGGGCTTCTCATTGCAGCTATTCATCACAACTTTTCTGTTTTAGCATAAAAGGATGCATAGACAGTACATAAATGAGTGTGGCCCTCTTCTAATAAAACATTCTTTATGGGTGCTGAATTTTGAATTTCATGTATTTTTCGTGTGTCATAAAATAGTCTTCTGGGTTTTTTGGAACTATTTTAAAATATTTATATATATATTTTAAATTTATTTATTTATTTTTGGCTGCATTGGGTCTTCGTTGCTACGAGCGGGCTTTCTCTAGTTGCAGCCAGAGGGGGCTACTCTTCGTTGCAGGGCACGGGCTTCTTATTGCAGCGACTTCTCTTGTTGTGGAGCACGCGCTCTAGGCGCGCGGGCTTCAGTAGTTGTGGCATGTGGGCTGAGTTGCTCTGCAGCATGTGGGATCTTCCCAGACCAGGGCTCGAACCCATGTACCCTGCATTCGCAGGCAGATTCTTAACCACTGTGCCACCAGGGAAGTCCAGAAAAAGAAAATTATATTTTTAAATATTCCATAAAAACAGGTGGCCGGCCAGATTTGGCCCATGGGTGGTAGTTTGCCAACCCCAGTCTTAGACATTTAATCCTTATAACATACTATGAGGCAGGTGCTTTATCTTAATTTTATAGGTGAAGGAAACAAGTACAGATGTTAGGTGACTTTCAGTCCCGCAGCCAGGATGTGTTAGAACCACTCACAATGACTAATGTAGAACCTTACGCATGTTTCAGAGTCAAATGAAATAACAATTTGACAACACTGTCTATCCTCTTTTTCTACAGGATTTATTGGATTATAAGGCCAATATCATGCTAGGCCCATTAAAAGAACTTTAGAGTCTGTTTTGTAAGCAGGTTCTTGTTGATTGACTTTTCTTTAATGTTCAAAAAGATGGCTTAGCTGAAATAGGAAAAAGATCACTATCTTGGTCTTATACAGCTTTTTTTCCTCCCGAAAATGCTTCAGACATTTTTCTTTTTTCATTCATTCTCAAAACATCCCTGTGTGAGAGGATAGGAATTAGCTTCCTAATTTTATGTTTGGGGAAACTGAGGTGGTGGTTTGAGATGCTATGCGACTTGACATTGTGTCTTAGGGTCATAACGTTAACATCAGAACCCAGACCTCATAATTCTGACATCCCATCCTACCTTAAGTGCTTCAGTGGAAAAGGAGGAATAATATACAGAAATATATTTCAGAGACTGTGTCTTCGTTGTGATACACGTGACCTGTGACACATGTAGTTTAGGAAGGGTAGTGGTTTAGGAAGGGTTTTCAAAATAATTTCTTATCTCATAACTAACATAGCCAGAGCAGTATAAGGAACTACATCAACCTAAGGTATAAACAGAGAAGGAAAACTTTTAAATCGCTTTTTCTTAAATGTAGATTTGCTTCTGGCCTAAAATCAGTAGTTTGCTGGCACTTTGCCACTTTTTAAAAAGGAATAAAGTCGCACTGATTTCAAATGTAAGCGTGAGATGCCAAAATATGTGGAGGATGTTTGCCACTTGCCAAACCTCATAAAAGTTTCTTTTCCTAACATTCTACTAAATTGGGGAGGGAGCAGTTTTTAAAAATCACTTCTGAAGATTTTTAGGGTACATAAAAAGTAAAGATGTTCAGAATGAGAATATAAATATCGCTTTAAGCCTGGATTGACCTTCCAAAACAAGCTTGAACTTCAGCCCTGCTTTACTGCTTCAGATCAAAATGCATGATCAGTGTATGCTTCTCCCACTGTACGGTTTTGCTCAGCATTTCCTACAGGAAGTGAACAAAACATCTTTCTACAGCTCCTCTACAATTAAGAAATATCCATGCTTCACATTTTAATGACTGCATACATTCTCATGGTAAGGAATCTGTAGTTTCCCACCGTACTGAATCAATCACAGGGTTTATTGTTAGTACATCTTAAAGCCAGAAACAGGACTATATATAATGTTCCCCCCACCCTATCCCCCGCCAAACACACACACACACACACACACACACACACACACACACACAGAAAACGAAACCCCTTGACATCCTATGTTTGATAGTATTAAGAGTACCATTATTACGTTGTGTAAATTTATAGCCACATATATTCTGGAACAAATACTACTGAAGTGCATGTGTGGTTATAATCCTACTGCCCACAGAGAGCTGGTATGTCTCCACCATAGGGCTGTAACACATTTTTCTACCCTAACAACCTCCCCAAACCCCTTTTAATTTATAGTTTATAACATCTGATTCTGGCTTTACTGTTCATGCCATCAAATCGTGAGTTTATCTCCTTGTAAGCTTGTCCAGTGACTTGTAACACATTCTTTAATTACTTAAGTTATTTAACTTCTCGTTTTCCCCTCAATGACGAAACTGAAAAGACCTTTAAACTTTCTGACTTCATGGCCAAGAATATTTTTTAAGTGAAGAAACATACACATAAAAAAATAATAAACCTGGTAACAAACTATTTTATAAATACGTGACTGTATTTTTCTTCATGTCCAGAAACTCTTACTGAAATAGAATTCAGGTATATTCCTTGCAAACCCACACAGTTCATACATCTAACACCAGGTTTTCATTTGTACCGAAACGGGCAAGATAATGAAGGCACAGGCTCAATTTGTATCAGTAAAGGACTCAAACACAGTCAAGAGGCACTAATGACATAGAAGCATCGTCAATCACGAAAAGCAAGTGTTCAGAGTCTGCAGTAACTTCTCTCCCTTTAATATTTGGCAAAATTCAGTCTAGATATTTTAATACCTCAGAAAGAAAAAATAAATAAGAGATGCTACATTAAAATGTCAGATGACCTATCATTACTCTTTAGACATATAAGGGAAGGGATAAAGTAAAGGGAGGGGACCACAGATTTCCTATATTCTTGGATTATCCTTCCTTTCTGAGGGGCTCAGATGTCTGTGTGCATCTGTCAGAATGCCAGCTGTACCTGAAGATTGAAGAGATGGTTGGTAGTTGCTGACATGGTCCCTCAACACTATTAAAAGTTTCTATATTAAAAGTTTCTATCACAAAAACAAAATTAGCTTGATTTCTTCTCTTTAGTCCTTTGTTAAACAGCTAAGTGAAATGTGGTTATTTAAAAGTGATCTAAAAAGTTTAAAATAAAGGAAAAATATATTCTAGCTTCCTAAGAAGAAACAGATTACAGATTTAGACTTCTATGGCAAATAAATACACTTGAAAACCAAGCAAGTTTCTCTCCTGTAGGAGAGTCAGACTACAAACAGTTCTCGTTTCTCTAAGGCTGATGACCACATCGCTCATAGAACATACCAGCAACTAGTTTCACAATTTTAAGAGACTTTTTCCATAATATGAAAGGTGAGGTTTAACCTAGTTCTGAGCAGGCAGAATAGATCTGTACTCACAACATCCCTATCACAAATATATGACAACTGAACAACAAAGCACAGCCCGATCTCTGCTTACATCGAAACCACCGTCTACATGATATCTAATTACTTGCTTTCGATGGGTTAATACCACCTGTTGCAAGACTAGAGCTGGCAGTCAATGGAGCACGCCATTTACAAGGAAGCCTAAAGTCTACAACTGCAAAAATAACATGGAAATGTACTAGCCCATCCAACATAGTTAAATATATTTTCAAAATTGTTCCTAGGAAATGAATTTTAATAGTATCTCCCAAGTCTTTCAACCAAAGTGACCTTGATCATTTTTGTCTTTTTACATCAAAATCTACCAAAAGTTTTTGACTGTTTCCAAGTATTAGGAACAGAGGGGCCAATATAGCATGTTTCACAATTAACTGTTAATATTTCAGCGAGTTACAATAAACTGTTTTTTGCATGCTTGAAAAAATAATTGTGAAGAAAAAATACGGAATACTAATGGGAGGACCTCAATAATTGGGTGTTTTCATTTTGCTTTAAAAACAACCTCTAATATTCAACTCTGACAATGCAGTAAATATATATACATATATATAAAGTTCATTTCCATGCGCATTACATAAAAATAACTATGAGAAATATCAATCTATCAGTGTCAGCTGATATATATCCAATTAACTCACTGCAGAAGGGAAAAGAAAAGGCCAACAAAATTCTAAAGTAATCAGTAAAGCTCACAGTTCGAAAAGGTTTTTTTTCCTTTTTTTTCTTTTTTTGCTTGTTTGAATTTTTTTGGTAGTTTGTCTGTGCTCTGTCATACAAGCTGATTCCCAGACTAATGGCCTCCGAGTAGATTTGAAAGAAAGCCTGAAGACTTCTTATTTTGCGGTGCTTCTGCTTCCTGGTCTTGTGAAAGCCCCAATTCACTCTCAATTTGGTCGAGCTCTGACTGGTCCAGTAGTTCAAAATCATCCCCTTCGTCTGTGTCCTCCCCTGGGCTGGGAGCAGCCTGAGACAGTGCTTGCTGCATGCCTGCTAACTGGTCTTTGACGGCGGCAGTCACCGCAGCGGTGATGACGTCCCCAGCCAGGTTGCTCATCAGGTGGAAGGTTTGGTCACCGCTCAGAGGAAGGGTGAGACCAGCCACTGATTGCCTCTCTGAGCTGGGTCTGGGACCGCGGTCCAACTGCTCCTTTCTTCTCTTGAGCTCAGTGGGCAAGCCAAGGCTTAATTCATCTTCATCGTTTGTTCCTGTGCCATTTTCTAGAGATGGAAAATCTGAAAGGTCTCGAGAGAAAACTTCCTCACTAGGTCGGTCAAGATCTGTGAAATGTAGAACAGAAGAAGTTCATGCTTAAGCACCATAATAAATTTTTTTTTATGATTCAACTTCTAAGTTATAATGTAGTAATTGATAAACGTTTACTATCTCAGATATACAAAAAATAGAAAGTCAAAGGTTTATAAGACCCTGTAATAAACCATAATAAATTTGAAATCAGAGAATTGTCTAAAAGATCCCTGCTTTTAATTGGAATCCTCTGAATCACTCTGGCATTCATCTAGCCTCCCATCAGACCCCCCCAAGTCTGGGACACTCTCTCCACAAGTACACACAAACACTACATGTCCCCCCATGGCCTTAGCTTTCCTCTTAAACACAAAAAGTGTGTAATGACTTACTATTCAACCTGTCTTAACGTCAGCTTGGAGCTCTGACTAGAGTTTAAACGTTCACCAAAATTTCATCCTGCTCCTGGGGAGGGGATTAGCTTAAGCCAATGTGGATATGTATAATCCAAAATAAAAAATATTTCAATTGGACGTTTTCATAGATTTGGGTCCAGCAGATGGTGACTATTATCCAGCCTTTGCATTTTCATTCATGGAGATCTGTTTGAGTATCTGTAACTGTGTTTGTTTAAAGCAATGAGTTAAAAGAAGCTGCTGTTCCTTCTATTCCACATTCAACCTAAGAGCTTATGGAAACATTTAGCTTTCCGTGAATATAGCTGAAATTAACCATACCGTTTTAGCAAAATATAGGTCCTGAATATATACAGGAACGCTTTAAGATTTGGGACATTTGAAAGCAATGTCAGGTTAGTAGGCAGACAGTGATTTCACTGTTTTTCACTTTTCACAGAAAATCCTTCAGTAACTCTTTGGAATCTTCAAGTTAATTAATGAAAGCCTTCTATATGGTTTCCATCATTGTTGCTCCCCTTGTGTAAATCTGAGATAGGATGCTTAAGAACAAAGGGTTTGTTTTACTGGTCTTGTAGGTATGTACAGCTTGTAGAGCTTGAGAGGACTTCAGTGACCCTCTTGTTCTAATGCACTTTAAAGATGAGGAAATTGAGATCCACAGAAATCATGTCACCTGTTCAAGGTCATACAATAAAGTTAATGACAAAAGCAAGGCTACACTTGGGTCTCCCAATCTCCAAACCTGTATTTTTTCAACACTACACAGCCTTCTTCCTTCCTCTAGAAAAAGAAAGTGTGTTCTTGCTTATAAAGACACATATAAAATAATTTATTCATAATCCTCCATTATAACCTGCTTATATTTTCAGTATATTGTTAAAATGACTTGAAATAATCCAATGAGACTAGCAAAAGTTATTGCACAAGACTTGTCTCAAATTTCATTTTAAATTGTACTTAACCTAATTATAAAAGATAAGCAAGCTTTTTTTTAAACTAACTTGGAAGAAAAACAAGTTAGTTAAAAAAAAAAAATAGTATATGAGAAACCCTGAAATCAGCTTTGGATTTGGGAAACTTGCCCCCCATGCTTCAGTCCCTCTTAATAAGGACTAGCCCTGGATATATGGGATTAGCTTCTCTCCTCCCCCGTCCCATTACTGCTATAAACAATGCCACCAGATAGTCCAGAAGTTAAGTTTTTTCATTGTCAATTGTTTGTTTTCAAAATAAAGGCAGATTTGGACATTGACTAGCTTAGATGTTTTTCTCATACTCTTCAAAAAAATAGCTTTTGAGATATAATTCATATACTATAAAACTTACCCTTTTAAAGTATATGATTATGTTTTTTAATATATTCACAAAGCTGTTCAACATCACCACCATCTAATTCTAGAACATTCTCATCATCCCAAAAGAAACATATTAATTACCAGTCACCCACCATTCCCTCTTCCCCCAGCCACTGGCAGCCACTAACCTATTTTCCTTCTGCACGGATTTGCCTATTCTGGACATTTCATAGAAATGGAGTCACCCAAGGTGTGGACTTGTGTGTCTGGCTTCCTCCACTTTAGCATAACGTGTTTAAGGTTCAACCATGTTGTAGCAAACGTGAGTACTTCATTTTTATAGCCAAGTGAGATTCCATTGTGTAGATGTACCACACCTTGTTTATCCAGTCAGCAGCTGACAGATTAAATACCTTTGCACGCACTCATGATTACACAAATCAGAGCATCTAGGAGTGTGAGCATACCGTCAGAAGTGTCCGTCTGTGGAGTGTATCCTTCTGAAAGGTTGAAGGTCCCATTGTCAGTCCAGGAGACCTCGGACACATCTGTGTCAGACACAGACAACTCTTTGGCGGCAACGGTCAGGCTAATCTGTGTTAATATAAATACCAGTGACACATTTCAAACTTCTGTGGGGAATCTTTTGAAACATTTTCCTTTCGATATTGTTCAATCATCTTAGAGAAACAGGAGGAGTCTATTAAGAATATCATTCCAGTTTTGGTACATTTAGATAAATTTACAGTCAAACCACACAGGAACAAATTGAAAACTAAACAAAAAATACCTTAGGACAGAGAGCTGAAAAGTCTAATTCACTGTCATCTTTGTGACTTTTTTCTTTATCTGCTTCTGTTGGGAAAAAATTTGGAAGCTTTCAGTTTCCTGGCCAGCTTAGACAGCGTGTATTTTACCCGCTGGATAAAATATCCTTATCCCACCTTCCTCATATTCTCCAACGCCTCCACGTAATTAAATGTTTGCACATAACAAGGTACACGTATTTGCAACTGTTTGGTTTCTGAGGGAAATGGTCCATATCAGTGGTCCTCATAGTGTGGCCCCTGGACTTTTAGAAAGGCAAATCCCCAGGCCCTCCCCTAGACCAGCTGGATCAGAAACTCTGGGGTATGGGCCCCGCAATCTAAGCTTTAATAAGCTCTTCAGACAATTCCGATGCTCCCTGTACTTTGAGAATCTGTAAGGTCACAAGCCAAGTTAAAAAGTGAACAAGGAGCACATTAGTCTTCCCCCTATTTTCTTTTCCTTCCCGTTCTACTGGTCCCCTCTTACAGGGCTCCCACACACAGCCCTACCTGTGTCATTTGTTATTTGCAACTGTCCACTCCCAAAGAAAACGATTTAGAGAAAATAAATAATAAGTAGCAAATACAGAAGTGTTGAAGACTTTTCTCTCTCCCCTGACAATTTGGATTAAAAAGGCAATTTGTTGTAATGTTTGAGAAAAGCATAAAAGCCTAAAATAGGAAAAAGCTATGTTACTTTGGGGGGATTTGCTTCTGTAGTAATATGTGGTGAAAGGCTAAAACACCCTGAAATATATTAAAGGTGATTTCATAATAGCCAGCTGATGTCTCATCTCATGCGTGGAATCTAAAATTCAAACGTTACCTACCAGCTCTCTCACGTTTCTTCTGGTTAATATATTCTCTGATTCCAAAATCTAGTTTCAGCAGAAATGACTTGATTTTGTTGTATATTTTTTGTCCAATATCATTACACTTAAAAAATGGACACAGAAATGCACATAGTACTGCAAGATAAGGAGGAAGAGAGTTTAAGGAAAGTGACCTTACTTTCCAAAGGCTACATCTTAGTATGTCACAAAATTATTTCAGTTCCCTTACGGACAAATTGGGTTTTTTTCCTTAAGGAAGCGCCTCTGTGAAATAAGTCCATAGTTTTTATTCTTCCCCCTGTAATGAAACCATTTTCTCCTATATACACACAACCCACCAGTCATGGTTTTCAAAGACTTGCAATTAGATAACTCCATCCCTTCAATCCTCTTACCCTCAAAATACAAAGGTTACGTGCTTTCCCGACAACAGTCCTGGATTAAAATATCAACTCTATTTATTTGTTAAATGATCATTTCTCCATAGAAACATTATTAACTATCTGTTAGCCTCTCGTCAGTAATACTGGGATAATAACCTCATCTCTTGGGGTTGCTGGGAAGGATAAATGAGATAAATACAGACCATCTGAATAATGCCTTGCCCGTATTAGACTCGCTTTCCCTAGCTCTCTCCTCCTTTCCCTCCTAAACGAGGCAGATCAAAGGGCTGATATTCCACAGGAGTTCTACTTGGGAGAATGGATGTGAGCTCTGACCATTGGCCCTTTGTGTGAGGCATGAGGAATACAAAAAGAAATGAAGATCAACCCAGGAAAGGCGTTGTATTCCCTACTGTTTATTTCTCTGCTGTTGTCAGGACACGTGCCCATTTACCTTTTAAATAGGAGTTGCAAACTCAAATATCTCTAGAAGACAAGGAGGTATCTGTAAACGTTAAAGGCTGGTGCGAGAAAACTAGGGAAATACGAGGGTTGGTTGGGTGGAGAGCGACTGCCCCATCTAAAGGCGGCAGGGCCAGATCTTTATATTTTTTAGGAGAAGCAGGAAATTGAAACTTTTTTTACAGCACTTTTGAGTTACAATTGACATACAATAAATTGCACATATTTGAAGTGTACAATTTGATGTTTTGACATATGCATACAACTAAGAAACTGTCATCATGATAAAGATAGTGACCATACCACCCCCAAAAGTTTCCTCATGTTTCTCTTAATCCCTCCCTCTGGTCTTTCCCTGCCCTACCCGCCTCATCCCCAGGCAACTATTTATGTGCTCTGTCACTAAAGATTAGTTTGAATTATATATAAATGGAATCAAACAGTATGAACTCTTTTTTTTACCTGGCTTCTCCCACCCAATCTAATTATTTTGAGATTCATCCAGACTGTTGCATACATCACTTTTTTAGTGCTGAGTAGTAATCCATTGTATGGATGTACCACAGTTTGTTCACCCATCTATTTGTTGATGGACATATGAACTGTCTTCTGTTTTTGGCTAACACAAATAAAGCCACTATGAACATTTGTGGACAAGTCTTTGTATAGGTGTATGCTTTCACTTCTCTTGGGAGAACACCTAGCTGTGGAATGCCTCGGTCACATAGTAGCTTTTAAAAAACTACCAAACTGTTATCCAAAGTGGTTGTACCATTCTACCTACCCACCATATCCTGGCTAACACTTGATATAGTCAGTATTTTTAATTTCAGCCGTTTTAGTGGGGATATAATGGTGTCTCATTGTGGTTTTAATTATATTTTGAGCCGCAGATCATGCACAACGGCAGAAGTATTCACGTATTTGTGGGGGGTGGAGAGTAGAGCTTGTTTACAGCTTTATTGACATAATTTAAAATAAAATGAATCACTTATATATAACCTTGCATTTTGACAGCTATTCTTATAATTTTGAAATAGCAACATGTCTCTAGAAAAAGGAGAAACTTTGTACAGCAGGAAATTAAAGAATAATCAACTTGCTTTATAATCAAGAACACATCCCTCCTCTTCTAAACTGTGGAACGTCTTGTAGACCATTAAATGATACCATATGTGTCACATCAATTAGACAAAATGTTCTACTATACTTACACAGTAGATAGCTCAGTATAACCCCAGGAATGTAACTTCCCAAGATCGTAAAAAAGGTGCATACACTGCAGACCAGGAGACAAAACTAAAAATAATAGAAGCAACATGTGACAATTGTACATAACATCAAGATACTTTAGAGCACAGGATACACACAAAATTATTGATCTATATGCCATCTATCATGTTATGGCAAATGTCTTTCAAACAGTGTTCTCTGCACTTAGATCTGACTAATGACTGCTGTGTTCAACCAGCCTTAGCCCACTTTAACATTAAGTGATAATCATTTGGAAGGTTCCAGAAGCTAACCTCTGGCACAGAGAACAACATCTCCCATTAATCATGCCTGCAGCTGTATTACCAGATGCAAGAGACCTGAAGAATAGTATGTACCCAGAAACTTGTTTTACTCAGGGTCACTCGCTGAAAACAATGCAGCCCAGTAATGAAATCTGTAGGTTCAAACTGTTTCTATAAATCTACAGAAATTCATAAACACAGCAAAACATGTTATAGAAATGAGAGGTATTTACATAAATATAACAGTAATTTGCACAGCTGATAAGCAGCCGGGATAAATCGACTGGCCATTACTATCCTCCTTCCTAACCATATCTGTCCGGCCAATGAAACTAAATTCCACCAGTGAAATTTGATTATATTCTTTCTGTCAGTCGAAGCCAAAAGAATCTTGGTCGTTTTAAGTAAGTAAAACATCAAGACAGAAAAATTCTCCCATAAAGTCTTCACTTCTTTTTCACACTCTATTATTTAAAATAAACTATCTTACTTCTTTGCTTTCCCTTTAAATTATGGTACTAAATTTCACTGATCAGCCAAGAAAATTCATTAAGGGAATTTCAAAAAGACACACGAGGAAAGGATACAGAACTCTGATCAATAACTGATTAAGAGAAATAGCAACGGGGTCTAAAATTCAGATTAACTTTGATTTTTCATTCTTGGCACAGGGTTAATAAATTCACTAGTCAAAAGGAAAACAAAATTAAGAGCTGTTTCTCAAACATCAGGGATCCTTGAAGAATACGGAATTCTAATAGCAAAATGGAAGAGGAAAGACCATAAAAGTTAAAAGAACAAATAAAAGCATTACTATATCCAGAATTCAGTTTCACGAAGGGATTTCATATTATCCACTAAATTTGTAGCATCGTTTTCTTACGTTAATTGACTTGGGGTATATTAATGCAACCCAATGCAGAAGTTTAAGTTCAGAATCTTCTAAAAATGTGTTTAATCATCTCAGTAAAATCAGCATCAAAAACACAAGTCACCCCACCCCGCTACCATGTTGATATCTTTTCTAAAAATCACCTTCAGTGATTAAAATAACTTATCCATATACAATGTTGCAACTTTAGTATGCTCAAAATGTGTCTGAATATAGTTCTATTACTCATTGAAGTTAGATTTCCTGTAACACGGTACAAAGAGAGGGATTTTAAATGAAGACATTCCTAGGTTCTTCCTTCCAACTACAGGTGGACATTTGTTTCCATAGCAGTGGAAGGGAAGGGGTCTATTGATGGTTCTGTAGCTCACCCGTGCTGTCAAGATACAGTGGAAGCTGCCTCTACACATAAAAACCCTATAGTTGGCATTTCTTGTAACCCCTTTCAAACCACTCAACTCTCTCCTCGTGGGTTTTCATCTTTGTTGGGAAAATACTCATTCCATTTATATAATCACTGTGGATGTTTCTGCCAAAGATTTTCTTTCTTAAGTAAAGCATACAAGAATCTCCACTTTTTAGACTGAAAGTGAGACTCAGTTACCTCCAAAAACACCCTCAAAGGGCTATGTGTTCCTTTGACTTGAGAACCAGCCTAGATAATATAAACTGAAATTCTTAATAACACGTTTTTATCCTTGGTCTGGCTGAGAGGACAAATCATCATTCATTTTAGTTAATAAGCTACATACATACGGATAAAATAGAAATCCAATCCAATTTCAAAATATAAGGTTAAGGATTTTCTAGTGCTAACAACACTAACATTTCTGAACCTCGCTAATATCAGTTTTTATGGCACGTGTTCGTAGTGTATTACATTCAGAATTGGAGAACCCTTACAGGCTGATAAAATAGGTTAATTCATTTGTTTCCAAGTTTATTTCACATTTTAAAGCACACACATCATTATCCTTTTCTGGAAAACTTGCCTTGCCAGGGCTCTGCTGTTTAAACAGAGCCATTTCTTGAAGAAACATGCTGAAATTCATCCATGATTCTGCAAGACAGTGGCTGAGCCTGGGTCTTTCATCTGGTTTGGAATTGATAACTTCCCAGCTAAAGAGAGAAAAAGAAAACCAAAACTTTTCACTGAATTGTGGATGATTCACTCAACATTTATTGCTTTAGCAGATATTCATTGAGCACCTCCTAATAGGCACACTCTCTGGAAGAGCCATGTGAATTCAGAGATGAACAAGCCAGACACCTGTCTAAGGAAGATCACAGGCCAAGGCGAGCAACGAGCTCCACGATTATCTGGTCACAACGAAGGAAAAATAGAGGGTGGAGGCGTTGGGGCGTCTTCTCTAAAGATGTCACTTTTAGGCTATGATCTGGATTTGCACTATTTACCATAAAGGCTTGGAAGGGCTCCAGACAGAACAATGTACAGCATATGCAAGAGGTCCTGTTGTGAGAAGGAGCTAAAGCACCATTGGTCCCAGTATGGCTGCAGTAGAGTGAACCAGAGAATAGCATTGCAGGGAGCTGGGATGGTAGGAAGAAACCTGATCATACAGGGCCTTGTGGGATTGTCAGAAATGGTTTAAACCTTAAAGGTAGTAAAGCCACAGTACCTTTAAAGAAACCTTGGCTTTAATCTTATCATTACCCTCGTCATCAACACGAACAAAGCATTTTCGGTCCACAGTTGATCCTTGTACAATGCTGCAGTTAATCCACCTATGTATAATTTATTGTTGGCCCTTCATATCTGTGGTTCCTCTGCATCCACAAATTTAGCCAACGACAGACCCTGTTGCACCGTAGAATTTACTACTGATAAACATCCACTCTAAGTGGACCCACGCAGTTCAAACCCAGGTTGTTCAAGGGTCGACTGTATACTCTGTTGGTCAACTCAGTAGAAAACTGTTGAACTCAACAGGATCTCACAATACCCCGTATTTGTCTAGACTATCTTTTCCCGATCATCATCATAGAATGTGCTGGATGTGGTGTGTGTGCCAGGCACGTGCTGTGTGTGGGTCCCCGCCTTCCCACAGGAATGGTAGTGAGCTGAAAACTAGTAACAAACGCTCCAGGAAGAAGACATGCAAATACTGGGCATTTCCTGAAGTTACAATGCCATTAAGTTCAAATCCCACTCCTGCAATCCTAACTCATCACATAAATATACCAGCTCAAACAAGCTCTATTAAGGGCACCCAAATTCATTTATTACACAGATAATTTTAAACAAATGTGTCTAGCAGAGGACACACTGTTAGTGAAGTGTCCTCTGAGCTATGGCTGCAAGGGTGTCAGGGTGAGACTGATCTCTGGATTCAACTCCAGCAGCCCTGCGACAAATTAAAACTACTTTGGCCCTTAGACGCTCAACTACCCAGAAATCGTGGACATTGAGATTCTGTTCCTTTTTAATAAACTTTCAAATCAAGGAAATTGTAAATTATACATTTCCCTTTATAATATAAATTTTAAGTTATATTTAAACGAGTGCAATAGCATTAAAAAAGCAAAAAACAAAAAAAAGTAGTTCTTGTCCTTCCTCTTTGTTCTATCAGCCTCAACCAATGCTCTGCCAGAGAGCCACTGAGCCGCCCGGTGTTCAGGCTGATGCTACTCCACGAGGTAGACATTTGCCAAATGATTTCCCGACTGTCGTAAGAAATGAACTTTCGGGGACGTTTAGCTATCAGTTTATGCCTTCATTAACTCTTCCCACGCTCGAACCACTGAGCAAGCCTGTTTACATTGGTGACCAAATCTAGCACTATGCATATCCTACGAATGATTCCAGACCTATTAGAAGAAACACTAAGTTTTTATGTTACATATAGTGGCCACGATCTGTAACAAAATCTTGCCAGTATGTCAGCTTCATGGGAAAAGATTTTGTACAGGAGAGTAAAAACTGAAATTGAACTGTGGCTTCCTTTCTAGAACAACATAGGCTTGTTACAAATTGGCAAGGGTAGGCTACTCTACTGCTCAGTGTATGACATAAATACAGATTTTAATTTCTGCTCTCTATGCATACTGAGTAGTATTAAAGGATTTGGTTAACCTGTCTGGCAAATATAATTCTAACAAAAATCAACGAAAAACTTATAATGGAACTGTATATTATTATTTTAACAATTCCAATGGAATGGGTGAACATTTTGTATTTTGAAGCAAATTTTAAATATACTTCCATTAGGATAATGAACAAATAAAGTGAGTTGTGTTCAAAAATGAAAGATGGGCTTCCCTGGTGGCGCAGTGGTTAAGAATCCACCTGCCAATGCAGGGGACACAGGTTCGAGCCCTGGTCCAGGAAGATCCCACATGCGGCAGAGCAACTAAGCCCGTGCGCCCCAACTACTGAGCCTGCGCTCTAGAGCCCGCGAGTCACAACTACTGAGCCTGCGTGCCACAACTACTGAAGCCCATGTGCCTAGACCCTGTGCTCTGCAACAAGAGAAGCCACCGCAATGAGAAGCCCGTGCACCGCAACGAAGAGTAGCCCCCGCTCGCCGCAACTAGAGAAAGCCCGCGTGCAGCAACGAAGACCCAACGCAGCCAAAAATAAATAAATAAAAATAATAAAGTTCCCTTAAAATAAAACAAAGAAAGATGGAATGGATATGAAGGAACTCAAACTCCATGTTTATACCTGAACCTCAGGATCATAATGTTGAGAAAACATCACAGAGGTATATACACAGCATGATTTCATTTATATAAAGCTCAAAATCACATTAAGGTAACAGATATTTAAGCAAGGAAATGATTTTTTTTAAAAAAAAAACAAGATTCAGGAGAAGGGGTTGTGTAGGGAATGAGACTTGAGATGGCAAGTGGGAGCTTCTTGGGTATTTGTCATATTCTATATCTTTTTTAGGTGCTGGGTACACAAGAATCGATGTATTTCTGTTCTTAAAGCTATACATGTACACACATATGGTCTTGATTTAAAATTCCTGGATACTTAAATGTATAATCATTCTTTTTATTTAATGAGTAACATTCTTACACGACTATATCCCACTTCACATCCTATAGTCAAAATACAAGTGTCACCCCCTGTGACAGAACTTTGGGACAATAAATTCCATTGTTACCTATATTTATTTTGAACAAAATCGCCTCAGGGAGTTCCCTGGCGGTCTGGTGGTTAGGACTCAGCACTTTCACTGCCGTGGCCCGGGTTCAGTCCCTGGTTGGGGAACTGAAATCCCACAAGCCGTGTGGCATGGCTAAATTTTTTAAAAAATCGCCTTGAGCAATTCTAATGAGACCTGAATTACTGTTGCCATCACTAACAGAAATGAGAAATGCATCCTGTAAGTCATGAAAATATCATCTAACCAAATGGGTTTTGGGAAGAGTAGTAAATGTCTGAGATAAAATAAATGAATAGATCGTCCTGAATAAAATTTAATGGAAATATGTATGATTTCAGAAGAAAATCCGAATTCAAGGGCAAAGAAGAGGTGTCACTCTACATGTACACTCTAAATAAAACATGCACCTAGCCATCACTCTCTGGGAGTTTCATAATAGTTTTAAATTGTCCAGTGACTAATTCTGAGCACCAGTGGAACATACATTTCTAATGTCTTCCATTATATACAGTCTACCATTCATTTGTGTCACCACAGTTCAGTTTAGGGAATATAGTTACATCATATATTTGAATAGTGCAGTTATGTAATTTAGAAGAAGATGGGCCAATTGATGTCAGCTTTTCAAATTCCCTTCTTTTATAGACAAGGAAAGTGAAACCCACATTTTCTCAGCTAGGTCAGGGCAGAGCCTGACTGGAGACTCCTGATTTCCAACACAGTTCTCTTCCCTTTAAAACATGTGCCCCCTGCAAGGGAAGAACCAATTCAATGACATCGCCTCACTCTTTTCTAGAGTCAGGAGGAATGAGGTGTGATTGACCAGGATCAACACGGCGTCATTTAAGACCTACCCATTCTGGAAAATAAGAGAATTTCCTGTGCAGAATCCAAATATTTATTGGAAAGTAAGATTCATACTTGATGGTTGGTCAACAATTAATACAAGTGACATCTGCACGTGTACACACACACACACACACACAGGCTCTGAGTTGCTCCATAATGAAACTCTAGGTTTTCCTAGAGAGTCTTGTCTAGAAAACACATAATCAGAGAAAGGATCTCCTGCGAATACTGGACGATGCTAGGGAAACAGATCTTTCACATGGTGTGTGGCTGTCTTCCCACCATCCTTGGCGCTGATCAATGTGCAACGAAAGGCCCAACAAACAGAAAAGGAGGCTGAAAAACAGTGTGAATCTTTACCAAGTCCTTCACCAAAGACAGTAAGTCTTCTATAGTTGAAGCTCATTCAAGGGAGAAAATTAGCTACCAATGGCTTCAGCATGAATATTCCAGGGCTTGGTTTTTTTCTTCCATAGTTTCAGAGAGAACATGCATTTTCCAGGTTCAAAGGGAAGTAAGGTCCTTTTGTGGGTCTGTCTGTCCTTCTTTCTTTCCTTCCCTTCTCTCTATCCTTGCTTGCTTCCTTCCTTCCAGCTAGTTTTCTCTCTCCTTCCTATCTCCCTCCAGCCAGGAGATAAGGACCTCTTAAGAGTCCCTCCCTTGTGACCACCAGCTCCAACTTCCCAGACTCTCCGAGAATCCAGTTCACGTGGTTCCCAGTGAGAAGCCACACCTCCCAGCCTTCCCACGGCCATGGCATCTTTCACATGGGCTCTGCCCAAGGATCTGCAGCTTGTGCAGAGCTTGCCAGAAAAGCTACCCAACGGAGGCCCTGGCAGATTCGTTTAGTTACATTCTCCTTAAGAGAAACTAGAGGGACAGATTTTTCACAAAAGACACTCGGCATGGTCAAAATAAGCAGCTGTTTACTGGTTCCACCAGTCCGAGAAGTTCTAAGGGAATAAGAATTAGAGAGATAGCCCCTCAGACAAGCAGCCTCGCTTTGGCACAGAAGGGAGCTCTGCTTGCCAGTAGAATCCGAAGCCAACACCCCTTCTTTCTGCCTCCATAACCCTACTCGAATACAATTAGGCATAGACGTTAGATGTGGCCCAAGTAATCTCGTTAGGCAGT